TTTGGTGGTTATGGACATCCACTATAATCATATTTTATAACAGCCTGTTCTTTTTTACTAACTTTTTTGTTTATGAACACAGTTTAATAACCATACTTGGGAATCGACTGATCTTCCTCCAGAGACCAAACTTTTAGGTTCCAAATGGATTTTGAAAATGCATAAAAAATGATTGTACTATTGACAAACATAAGACAAGACTTGTCAAAGGTCTCAGATAACGAGAAGATCTTTATTATTCTGACTCATGCTTACCGGTAACGAGGATTGCATCTATTCAAATGTTAATAGTATTGGCCACCGTATATGATTTTGAAGTCTATCAATGGATGTGAAAATAGCCTTCTTCAATGGGAATTTAGGGAAGAAATCTACATGAAATAACCCGAAGTATTTGTGATTCCCAGAAAAGCAAAGAAGGTTTGTCGACTTATTAAATCTCTTTATAGACTAAAACAAGCACTCAGACAATGGCATACGAAATTTAACCATACAAATTATTAAATAATTTCAAGATTAATGAATATGACAAATATATGTACATTCAAAATAGTCCAAATCAAGTGATCATTATTTGCTTATATGTTGATAATATGTTGATAATGACTAATGAAATTGCTAATATAAATGCTACTAAGCACAAGCTTACTATAAGTTTGATATTAAAAACTTAGGAGTTGCCGATTTATTTTTGGGAATCAAGATCTATAACTCTTCAAGGACTAGCATTGTCTCAATCTCACTACATCAAAATGATACTTGAAAAATTCAAATATCTGGACTTCAAAAATGTAAAAACTCCAATTGATTTAAACATTACTCTTGTAAAGAATAAAGGTCAAAACAAGTCTCAATTAAATTATGCTCGAGTATTGAGAAGTTTGATATACACCATGAATTGTACACGACCAAATATAGCTTGTGTGATAAGTAAACTGAGATAATATGCAAGTAATCCCGACTAAACTTATTGGATGACAATAAAACTAGTTTTGGCGTATTTGAAACACACGCAAAACTTTCTTTGAACTACAATAAGTATCACACGATTATTGAGGGGCAGAGGTGGATCCAGGATTTGAATGTTTCGGAGTCATACTACTTTGAACGTAGACGTGTTGCTATTTACACGGTCCAAACAGATATGGGTTTTGATTTGGGTTATTAATCTTTTCGATTTATATAGACCCAAAAGATCGAACCAAAAAATATAATAATTATGACAACTTTGCGCAAAGTATAAAACTTCCAATAGTATTACTAATATTCATTTTGATTCACAAAACTAGAACACCTTCTCATAAAATAGAAGTTCAATCCAATTCAAAACTAAATCGAATTCAGTAAGGGAATCACACCCCTTTTATCAATGCACAATCCCAATTTTCACTCGTTAAAAGAAAAATATAGCAAGATTCTCAATTCTTAACAATTAAATCTTAAAAAATTAGATCAACCATTAGTGTTTGTACCTGAGAAAAGAAAGTTTTTCAAATGAAACAATATTGCTAGTAGACAACAGATGAAGCTTAGAAGTAAGGTAGTTTGAGATAGGGGCAATCAATTAAATCATTTAGATTTTTGACCACCAAAATTGTAGTTCTAAATTTTTTTTTACTTTCTTAGTGCAGCTAGAAACTGTTCTTAATTCTAAGTACCAACATAATAGTAGTATTTTACTTCAGAAATCACAATAGATACTAGTCACTAGAGTAAGTCAAATTAAAATCGATGACCTGCAGGCAAAATGGTGTGTAGTATCATTCCATCAAAATCTCTTGACCCTCAAAGTTAATGATAGTAAATTATCTTTATTGAGCAATAGAGCAAGGCATATCAAGCCGATGAAGGAAGCAGCGTTGTCAACGACTGACAATGGCGACTGTTGAGGGGATGGGAGACGATGGTTGAGGCCTGAAGTTTTTTATTTGGAGTTCTGATGGAAAAGAAAAGGTATTTTAACTTTGTGTGAAATAAAAAAGAAATACTCTCTAAGTACAAGAGACAAAAAAGTCAAAAGTCAAGTAATAAAGTCAATAAAATTAAAGAAACACAAATAAAAGAGAACAAAAACTGCTGGTATATAAATTTGTGTATAATGATAAAATGACAGAAATATTGAATACATGATGCAGCAAATCAAAAAGCTGCTGGTACGAAATGTCGATCCCTCGCTACCAAGGCCTAATTCTTTGCCCCTTGCCACTGGTACCTTGATATTGTTTGTTAGTTGTTACTCCGATTGGCAAGTGAAAAATTTATAGGATTTTGTACATGTATTTACATATACATTTAACGTTTCGATGGAAAATTTGATAGGCTTGACCCCTAGATACTGATGTGGCGAAGAGCTTGAATATACTCTCTTTTAGGAGTGTGGGGGGTGGGGAGTGGGGGGAAGAAAAATAAAAAAATCAACTTCCAAATGGTAATTGCCGCATAATCAAATATAATGATTATTTTATTCCCATTGTATTTCTCGTTGTTTCTTCTTAATATACATTGCATATTTTTTCCCAATTATATTTTTTTAGATATAATGAATATATGTTTCAACTATGTATTTTCTATCTCTTTTTTTCGGTACAAATCTATAAAATTTAGTTGAAACTCCATTTATTTTAGCCAAGTAAAATGATATAGCCAAAGTAATAAAGTTCAAATGCTGTATTTTCTACAAAATAAAATATTGTATATTTTTATTTTTATTCTTATATGATGACTATTAATTTAAATTATGCATTTTTCTTTTTTTCGAGTCAAATTCGCAAATATTTGGTTGGAATTTTACTATTTTTAGCTAAAATATTTAATATGGAGTACCAACAACGTATTTTATTTTTATTTTTTTAGGTGCAATAATAATGTGTTCTAACTGTATATTCCTTTTTTTACCAAATATGTAAAAGTAATTTGATTAAAAATATTATTGTCTTCTATCAAAAAAAATTATAATCAAAATAACGTTGTTTCAAAAAAAATTCTTTAGATTTTGGCACGAAAAACATAATTTAAATAGTTGGTGGACATAGAAAGATAAAAATATATATTTTATTGTAAAAGATGCTACTTGGAAAAATCCATGTGACGATGCGTGTGTCACACTCCCATGGATTGTCAGCGTCCAGGGGGAGTCGAGGCTATGAAATTGCCCAGTTCAGTTGGGGTATAAAAGAGCACCTAAAGTTTAAGAGGGAACTAAATAAAAATTGTCAAGTTCAGGGGGGTCCCGAACTATTCTGCCTTTTTACCGTTAGTGGAAGAGTAATGTCTTGGAAGTCGTCCAAGCAGATATACATCGCCTGTTTTACAATAGATTCTGAGTTCATATCTTTAGATAAAGGTATTGAAGAAGCTGAATAGCTCCGAAATTTCTTAGAAGGCATTTCATTTTGGACCAGATAGTTGGCATCTATATGCATATATTACGAGAGTCAAGTGTCAATAAGAAGGGCTGGGACCGTTATGTATAACGAAAAATCTTGCCACATATGAAGAAGACATAAAGTCGTTAGATAACTACTCTCTAATGAAATTATCACAACTGACAATGTAAAGTCAAAAGAAAATTTATCGCATCCACTTACAAAAAGCCTAACTAAAAAGGTTGTTGAGATATTATCAAGGGGAATGGGACTATGGACGAGAAGAAGTCATCATGGCGGTGACTCTACCTAGAAGACTGCAGATTCCAAGATCTAGACTCAATTTGGTTTAGAAAAAAAGTTATGATTGACGGTTTAATATTGTTAAATAAGATTTTGCTTCATTCATGTGATGAGACAATGTTCGGTGATGATGATAAGGCATAAGGTTTTTTTAATAATTTTGAAGTTTGATTTGAGATTATCAAATAGTGTATCTACGAGATTACACGTTTAGGAATGACCTATATTATTGAAAAGTGTTAGCCGCTTCAAGGAAAATTTCATAATGCAATTCTCTACGCACTTATGAAACTAGGCAGTGTTCATGGCTGAAACGAATACAACAATGAGAACGTGTTATTTATGTTGTTTAGGTATACATCAAAGCTCAACAGTTCAAAGATATTAAATCTACGACTGACCGAATATATTCGATATATATTCATTATGAAAGTTCAAAGGAAAACCTACTTATCTAGATGCAATTTGTCTTTACTTGCAAATCGCACATTTTTTCATGCATGTTTTCATCATATAGTCATTGCCCATTCGTGTGGGGGATTATTGAATTTTAAAGTGTGAATGGAAAAGTCACATTTTGGATTGTACCTCTTTATCTTAGTCTTTCATTGCCCTTAAATTCAAAGGCTTGGCCTCAATTTTAAAATACTGAAATTTCTAATCTTCTCTATATTGTTTTTCCAAAAAAAAAGTAAGTGTCAAGTGTAATATACTTCGTCATTTGAGTTTGTAAAAGTTCTGTAATTTAAAGTGCCGCTACAGAATATATATAT